ATATATATATATATATATATATCAGAAAAATTATGTATATATCAGAAAAGTGTGCCCTCTTATTACTGACAGCCTCTTAGAGAGGCAGTGGCCTTTTTTGATAGGAGCCTGAGGTTCAAAGAGGCCCCGAGTGACCTTTACTAAGATCACACAGCTTGGAAGGGGCTGGCTGGTTTGTAATCTCAGATCTGTTTGACAAACAGTGACCCAGGTAAGGTCTGGGGTAACTTGGAGCACACTGACTTCATGTCATATATAGCTAGTAAAGTTGATTCTTTGTCTTCTGGAGCCAGAAAACTTACTGATCTCCCTCCCCGTCCCGGTCTCCCCTGGAGGGCCCAGAAGCCAGGGCCTTCGCACCGAGAGGTAGATCCAGGCACCTTTTTTTAGGTTTGATTTTTAGACAGGGCCTCGCTAAGTTGTCCAATTACCGGGGTTGGGCTCCAGCTCTCGGTCCCTCTGCCTCAGCGGTGCCGCCGTGCAGAGCCCTGGGTCTGTGTTGCATTCCAGTCTCTTAATAGCACATTTCCCTGAGGGAGGAAGGGATTCGTTGTTTGGGAAACGGCATCTATGACTCCCGGGCCCCACCTTGGACGTGGGATGGAGGTGCGTGCGGTTAGGTGCCCAAGAAATCCTACTTGCTGAGCACCAGGACAGCCGCCCCTCACTGAGTAACAGACCTGGCTTCTTTCCTCCACTAAACTCCCTCCCTGGCTTTGCTTCGGGCAATAAATACCAAAACCGAACACTGCTTCTTGAAGTTGTGTCTCGTGTTGTTCTATTTGGGTCCCAGCGGTCGAGATAAAATCATTTCTTTTGTGTAATGTATTTTTTTTTAAATGTACTTCAATCTTTACCTTGTTTTTAATAGCCATGGAAAAAAGTCTTAAAATATTTTAAAAGAGGAAGGGGTGGGGCAGGAGGGAGGTGAGAGGGATAAAATGTCCAACCATCAAAATTTAAGAACCAGAGCAAACATACCTGGTTGGAGGAGATGAAAGGGAATTTTTTTAAAAACGTAGTACTGCTTATCTACCTTTGAAAACATTTTAGCGTTCTAAATATATAAAGAATAACAGGACATTTCAAATTGTATTTAAGTATAGAAGTTTAACTTTCCTTTTTAAATTTATTCTTATGAGTCCATATTTGCAGTACATAACAATTACATTCGTTACGGGGGTAACATTCGCTATGGACGTCACACAGTTTAATTCTTTTCTTCATCCCCTTCCCTCCCTCCCTCTCCCCTTCTTTCACCTCTTGGTCCCCTTCCCATTTGCAAAAGATCCATCTCCCTAGCTGGACTTGGCGGCAATCGCAGCACTCGGGAGGCTGAGGCAGGAGGACAGCCGTGAGGTTGAGTTCGAGGCCAGCCTGGCTCCATAGTAAGTTCAAGGCCAGCCTAAACTACATAGTGACATCCTGTCTCCAAAAAAAAGAGAGATCTATTTCCTATTTTCTTTTCTTCCCCCTATGTTCTGTCTTTTATTTTGCTCTTTAACTTATTTATACTTTGAGTTTATCATATAAGAGAAACAATGTCATTTTTTTTCCTGTACCGGAAATCAAACCCAGGGCCTGGTGCTTTCCAGGCAGTTCTGTGCCAATGAGCTGCAACCTGGCCCACCATGTGATGTTTAACCTTGTGTGCCTGACTTATTCCACTTAACATTAGGGTCTTAATCTGCATCCGTTTTCCTATAAGTGACTTAAGTTTATCCTTCTTTATAGCAGAGCATTACTCCACTGTAAATACCACATCTTAGTTATCCAGTCTTCTATTGATGGACTTGTAGGTCACTCCCAAGACTTAGCTATTATGAGTTGTGCTGCTATAAAAACGAGTGTGCACGGATCACTGTACTATGGTATCTTTCACTCTTGCAGGGAGATACCAAGAAAAGGAATAGCTGGGTCAAATGGGATTGCCTTTCTCTTTTTTATCTTGAGACAGAATCTCACTATGTAGTTCAGACCAGCCTTGAACTTACTGTGTAGCTCAAGTGATCCCCCTGCCTCAGCCTCCCAAATGCTGGGATTACAGGTATGTATCAACTTGCCTGGCTTAAATGGGATTTCTATTTGTACTTTTTGAGGAATCTTCACACTGATTTCTATAGTGGTTGTTCTAGTTTACCCTCCCACCAACAGTAGAGAAGGGTTTTTTTCCCTGAAGCCTTACCAGCATCTGTTATGCAATTTCTTTGACAGCCATTCTCTCTGGAGTAAGATAAAATCTCAGTGTTGTTTTAATTTGCATTTGTCTAACAGCAAGAGGTGTTGAACATTTTTTCATGTATTTATTGGCCATTTGCACTTTTTCTGAGAAGTGTCTATTCATTTCAGATTCCCATTTTTTTTTTATTAGAATCTTCTTTTTATTCAGGAAAACCCCACCACCACACCAAAAAAAAAAAACAACAACAAAGTTTACCAACCACACACAGGAGGGGTATGGGTAGGCGAGGTATCTGTCCATCCAGCCCCAGCTCCCAGGCCATGTGGTTTCTGCAGCAATAAAGGATATGAGGCACTGGCTCCTGAAATAAAAATGGTGTATGCGAGCGTACACGTGCAAAAGCGGTTGGGAATGGTGGAAGGGAAGGGCCCCAGGCTGGGTGTGGTGGCACATGCCTGTAATCCCAGAATTGGGAGGCTGAGGCAGAAAGATGGCCAGGAGTGAAGGCCAACCTGAGCTACATATAGAGACCCTGCATCAAAAAACGCAAGAAAGAAAGAAGAAAGGAAGGAAGGAAGGATCTATGCATGGGCCATGTGGGGATCTAATAGCCAAGTCAGCTGGGGAGTTTAGCCAAGTACTGGAACCTGGCTAATACAGAACATGACTATTACGTGGTCACCTCCTGCTATCGGTTCCTGAAGGTAGGAACACAGCTACCAAATCACCCTCTCCCGCCTTTGTCCCAAAAGGGTGGTGGGTGTGGTGGCGCACACCTGCCACCCCAGCACTTGGGAGACTGAGGCGGGAGGATCGCCACAAATCGGAGGCCAGCCTGGGCTACATAGTGAGTTCAAGGCCAGCCTGGGCTACATAGTGAGTTCAAGGCCAGCCTGGGCTACATAGTGAGACCCTGCCTCAAAAGCAAAACAAAAGAAACAGAAAGGGGCTGCCGGGAAGATCTTCAGCAGATACTGCTATTTAACTTGTGTGGTACCATGGTAGGCCAGCATGACCCCGCAGGCATCGGCCTGCGCTGCCTGGGTCTGATCTCAGAACCACGGTGCGGTGCCGCTCCGTGTCAGGAATACACGTGGAGCCAGGCATCGAGACGGGTGCACAGGCAAACCTGGCCTGCCCAGCCCACTCCACGCCGGGCTGTGTGGTGTTCAGACCGCAAAGCTCCTGGGGCCCCGAGGGACAAAACCCCGGGAGGCTCCGCCGCGTCCAAGAATAAATGGCACAGTTCGGACACTGAACACACAAAGTGTGCACGGCTGCTGCAGTTTATAGCAGAGGGTTCACAGTCGACTTCCCGTTAGGTAGGAGCCTGCTCTGAACCGTGATCGACAGCACACCGTGGCACAGCAAAGCGCTGTCACTGCACAAGACAGTAATAGCCTTTTTTTTTTCCTCTCTCTGTCTCGCGCTCTCTCTCTCTTTTTAAATTTTCATTTATTTATTTATTTTTTGTAGTACAGGGGATTGAACCCAGGACCTTGGGACTGAGCTCCATCTCCGACTCTTTCTCTATTTTGAGACAGGTTCTCCTAAGTTCCTAGGTTGCCAGGCTGGTCACAAACTTGTGATCCTCCGGCAGGTGTGCTCCACGACACCCAGCTACATACACAGTTGTCGCTGGAGGATTATGTGCTTTACCTAATCATCCTGCTATAATTTTACAGGAACGGCAGTGCAGGAGGTTTGTTTACTCGGGCATTACCACAAACATGTGAGTAATGGCCGCAAATCAGTAGGTGTTAGAAATTGTTCAGCTCCTTTGTGCTCTCATGAGGACCACTGTTAAACATGTGCTCTGTTCTGACTGACAAGTCCTGGGTGGCACCTGACGGTCACTCACAAGCACTGATGGTGTGTCAGACCATTCCAGATCCTGGAAATAGAGCAGGACAAACCAGGCTGTATGCGGTGCACACCCCTGTGACTCCCAGCCCTCCAGAGGCAGGAGCAGGAAAATCACCAATCTGAGACCAGCCTGGGCAACATAGTGAGACCCTCTTTCAAAAAATTAAAAGCAGCCGGGAGTGGTGGCGCATGCCTGTAATCCCAGCACTCAGGAGGCTGAGGCAGGAGGATCGCTGTGAGTTTGAGACCAGCCTGGGCTACATAGTGAGTTCCAGGTCAGTCTCAGCTACATAGTAAGACCCTGTCTCAAAAAAACAGAAAAAAAAAAAAACCAAAAACTAAAAACATCAATCAACCAATGAAGTAACTGTGTCCAGAGTCTAGCCGATTCCCACCAGAAGATACAAGCTGGAGGAGGGGACGCAGTGAGTGAAACCGTAGTGGAGGTGACAGGACGCAAACAAATTTATTTAACAATATAAAGGCAAGGAAGTAGAGCTCCTGCTAGCGGGGAGTGGTTCCGAGCTGGATACCCAGGAGGGCTCTTTGTCTAGGTGTTTTCAAGGCATTTAGAAGGGAGCTTGGGCTGTGGTACCCTAGGGGAGAACACGCACTTCTCAGGGTCCGATCTATGCAGAGCCCACTACCCATGCTCCGGGGAGGCCTTGGACAGCTGCAGGACCCCTGGCAGGTGTATCTGGAATTTCTCTGGAGGGTGGTGGCTCAGCAGGCTCCATTTTGGGGCCACTGTCCTTGTTGTCCAACAGGATCCCAGCTCTAGCCCCAGGCTGTCATTTGTGGCCCTGTGGATGGAGCATTACGCTCAGTGAAATAAGCCAGGGGCAGAAAGACAAACACCACACATGCTCTTTTCTACTTGAAAGCTAACCAAAGTTGGTTTTATAGGAATAGAACAGGGATCACTAGAGGCTAGGAAGTGGGGAGGCAGTAAAAGGGGTCACATAATGCAGCAAACTACAGTTAGGAGGAACAACTCTCAGCTTCTACAGCTTCTAAAGCTATACACGCAGCGATTTAATGTATTGTATAAAGAACCAGACATGAGGAGTATGAAGTTTCCCAACCCAGAGTGATAAATGTGTACTGGTAAGGAAAAATTAATTACCCCGACTTGACCACTACATGCTGTGTGCTTACTGCATTCCTTAAACAGGTACCATTTAAACGAAGTAATCGAAGGCATCCGTGTTTGTCCTGGGTCCGATCATCACGACACCGTTCATTCCAAGAACAGTTCCTGAGTCCCCTTTGTGCCAGAGTGCATTTCACCCAGCAGTGAGAGCTGACACCATCCCTGCTTTACGGAGCTCATTTCCTGGTGAAGAAGCCATTGTCCTGCAGCCATTTCTTTTCTTTTCTTCTTTTTTTCTTTTTTGGTACTGGGGATCGAACTCAGGTCCTTGCACTCGCAAGGCAGGCGCCGGAACCACTGAGCTAAATCCCTGGCTCTAAATTCATATTTTTTTGGTACCAAGAATGAAACTCAGGAAGGACCTCATGCTGCAGCCAATTTTTTTATAGAGTCTTTCTATATTTCGGATCCTTCCTGTTGTTGTTTTTAAATGTATTTCTAATTTTTGTGTTGATTTCTAGAAGGTGAGAACATATCACATCAGGTTGCTCTGTCTTTTCTTTCTCTTTCTTTCTTTCTTTCTTTCTTTCTTTCTTTCTTTCTTTCTTTCTTTCTTTCTTTCTTTCTTTCTTTCTTTCTTTCTTTCTTTCTTTCTAGTATTTTTTGAGACAAGGTCTCATCATATAGCCTAGGCTGAGCTTGAACTCACTATGCAGCCCAGCCTGGCCTCAGACTCAGGGCAATCCTCCTGTCTCAGCCTCCCAATTGCTGGGATTACAGGCACACACCACCATGACCTGCTTCAAAACTTTATTCTTAACTGTACAACAGACTCCAAGACAATACTTCCTGCTAACTATAGGTGTCAAAAGATGTTACAGCAGGGAATCCAGATGTTCTAATAGGAATGGAATCTCGGGTCACCATCATTTTAGGCACAAGAAACAGTTTGTTTTTGCCAGATGTCTTAATTCCTCCGGTGGCGAGGCCCTCCCAGTGGCCTTCTTTCCTGCTCCTCCTTTTGCTTCTGTTTGAAGGCCTTACCTTCTTACGGTCTCCTTGGCCCACTTCCAGGGGCTCCTTCTTGAAACCTCCTAGGTTGACAGGGGACTGCAGACCCTCACTGGCCTGGGCGCCAGAGCCCCCAAGTCTGTTTTTGTTTGTCAGCATCTCTCTGGGGGTGCAGGGAATCATTGCTCTCCTTCTCTCAGTGTTGGTTTTTGGTGGCTCAGGCTCCCCCCAACCTGTCAGGTGGCCGCGGTGGTCCTCTGTGGTACATAGGGAGCATCTGGAGCTACACGGGCCACTGGCAGGGTCCTGCGCTGCGACCTGCAGGACGCTCCAGGTGTCTCAGAAGCCCAGTGCCTGGATGAGTCTGGCCGAGCGCCCACACGGCCGGCTTCCTGAAGGGAAACTTGGAAGTAATAGCTCCATCCATCTTTCCATGGAGAAGGGAAACAGTGACAGAAAGCATGGCCCCTTCTGATGTTCAGCCTCCTAACCCACCCCGGGGTGGGGACATCAGGGCCACTGTTTGGGAAACACATTTAGGACACACAGGACTTCAGTCTTCACCACTTCCTGGCCGCGTGGCCTTGAGCTACACCCTGCTGGCTCTCGGTTTCCTCATCCATAAATAAGTCATAATAATAGATCCTATCTGCTAGGGCGGGAGGGCGGGTGATGACCGAATGACATCATGCCTATAAAGGATTACACAGCCAGCTCTGCACAGTGCCAGCCATTATTATGGGAAGCAAAGGCAAAGGGTTCGGCCAGCCCCGGAGAGCTCCCAGTGTGGGTGGGAGACGGGAATCAACTGGCTGGGGCCGCAGCACCAGAGTGGGGCCTGCTGGGATGTGGGTGTGACTTTTTGTTCATTCATTCATAGCACTGGGGATTGAACACAGAGCCTTCCCATTGACCTACATCCCCAACACTTTTTTTATTTTTTATTTTGAGACTGAGTCTCATTAAATTGCCCAGGCTGAGCTGCAATCTGAGATCCTCCTGCTTCAGCCTCATACATTACCACACCCAGCTGTGAGTATGACTTGTGGGAGGAAGTGTGGAGGTCTAGCCTGGGAGTGCCACTGTCTGACAACCAGGAAGGACCCACTTCGAGATGTTTTGCAGCAGGCAGCTATGTGGATACAAGGCCCGGGGGGAGCCAAAGGGTTCAAACTAAAGTTATACGACCAGGCCCATGACGATGCCATTAGCAGCCAAGGATTATGTGGAGACAAAGACTTAAAAGACAAGCGATAATGCCCAGGAGGCGAGTTCAGAAGGGGTTTATTCCAGTGGAGGCAGTGTCTGTGGAGTCTCGGGAGGTGGCCACTTCCTGCCCTTCAATAACCTCTGAACGCAATGAAACTTTATCTCTTCACATCACTTGCAAGACTCACTTGAACAGTGAAAAATAAAAAATCTGATCCCAATTAAGTATAAATTAGCACTACCTAGTCTGGGGGTGTAGCTCAGTGACTGTGGGCCTGGTGTGCACAAGGCCCTGGCCCCAGTGTCCCAACATAAACAGAGGGGTCAGCAACAACAGAGCTTCTTCCTGAGGCCACCGACTCCCCACTGATGGCTCACGCAGGTCCCTGTGGGTACCCCAACTGCAGGACCCCTCCTTAAACCACCAGACAAGGCTGGAGAGGGAGCCAACACCCACCGAGAGCGTCTGCATACATGGTTCCCGTTTCATCCTAGTGACTGCTCTATGGGAAAGTCACTGTCCCCAAGATGGGACATCGGGGGCGTAGAGAGGCCCCAGGTGACAAAGCCAAAGCAGATCTAAGATAGGAGCCCAAGTCTGCTGCCTCCTAAACCCACATTTCCCTCGGGATACCTCGCTGGCCCTGGAGGTGACAAGGTGACAGGACGAGGAGTTTAGGACAGAGGTTTTCTATTTGGCAGGAATGTAATTACTCAAAGCCTCCACCCTGATTCTGTGCAAGGCACTATAACAGTCAAATAAAAGGGCCTCCTTATGCATTTTAAGGGGTTGATAAAAGAGGTGCTAGGGTATGGCTTAGGGGTAGAGCCCTTGCCTCATGCATAGGAGGCCCTGGGTTTCACCCCCAGAACAGGCTGGGGAAAAGGCTAGGAAAATGCACCGGAAATCACGGGAACCTCACCGGACAGGGAGGCTGTGTTCTTGGTTCTCCTTCTCACTGTGTGACCTTGATTAAATCCTTTCCTCTTCCAGCCTCCCTGCTCACAAAAGGGGCAGGATAGCTCAAGGGCAAATTTGTGACTTCAAAATCCAACAATGAGCTGTGCATGGTGGCACAGGCCTGTAATCCCAGTGTTCGGGGAGCCCAAAAGGAGGGTGGTAGGTTCCTGCCCAACCCAGGCAAGTGAATGACTTAGTGAATCCAGGCTGGAAATAAAGAAAGGCTGGGGATGTGGCTCAGTATAAAGTCCTTGGGTTCAAGCCCCAGTACCATCAAAAAAGGGAAAAGAATCTGATGATGATCGATGTTATCAGGCCAACTTTGGAAGTAGAACACACAAAATTTAAAATGTGAATACCCACTGATTTCTTGGAGTCTCTCCTAAAGATATTATGCATAAGTGCACAGCACATACACACAGGAAGTTCATGGCAACACTGTGATTCATAACGACCTCAACGCCTACCATCACAAGACTGGCTAAGTACATTACGATACACTTACACCTGGGAAAGCTAGGCAGCCAGCAAAAAGAATGAGGAAGACGTGTAAGTGCTAAAGAGGAAGTGTCACTTGGATCCACCGTGGAGTACACCAAGAAAGATTTGTCAAACCAATTACACATGGATGAGCCTACTGCTATTTTTAATTGTGCATAATAAAAGACTAAGAAGGAAGTAGATGGTGGGAAAATTTTCCCGTAAAAAAGACTTCATTTATATAATTAAAATTATTTTTATCTGTAAAATGATACATAAAGTAAGTCCACATGGATCTCATTTAAGTAGTTTGAGTCTAGAATGCTAACCACTGTGCCACAAAATCTTTTTTTTTTTGAGACAGGGTCCTATGATGCAGCCCAGGCTGGCCTTGAATTTGTGGTGATCCTCCTGCCTCAGCCTCCTGAGTGCTGGGGTTACTTTTTAAACTTCATTTTGGGGCTGGAGGCGTGGCTCACTAGTAGAACATTAATCACTGAATAAATGTCTGGATTGGGTGTTTTGTTTTGTTTTGGCTTTTTGAGACAGGGTCTCACTATGTAGTTGAGACTGACCTCGAACTCACTGTGTAGCCCAGGCTGGTCTTGGAACCCACAGCAATCCTCCTGCCTCAGCCTCCTGAGTGCTGGGATTACAGGCGCGTGCCACCGTGCCTGGTTTAAGTGTCTGGATTAATGAACAAGAATGAGCCACCCAGGGAAAAATGCTCAGAATCTAGACTTCTCGTGTAAAGCCGGTCACAAGGGGAGCACTCAGGATTTGAAGTTCATGTCCACATTCTATATGACATCTTGGAACCCTCATGCTCCTGGTTCCATGTATTTAATCCATTTATTTGTTTATCTATTTATTTACAGTGCTGAGGATTGAACCTAGGGCCTTTGAACGGAGTGCATTACACCCCAGCCCTTTTAAAAATTATTTTATTTTGAAACAGGGTCTAGCTAAGTCATCCAGCAGGGCTCAAACTTGCAATCTCACTCTCTCGTATTTGGGTTGGTCTGTGTGTGTTTCTTACCAATTTTTGTTCTTATCAGTACACACTTGCAGTACCTGATCACATTCACGGTGAACTTTTTGTGTGGTTTTGTTTTGAGATAGGATCTCACTATGTAGCCTCCTGCATCAGCCTCCCAGGTCTTCACACTCTTGATTTTACAGATAGGACTGAGAAACTCTCGCCCCAAATAATGGAGCTGACCAACAAGGAAAACTCACCAGCGAGGGCCATACACAAGTAAAAAGAACTCTTTGCTGTTGCTGGTGTAGGCTCAGATGAGGTTAACAGACCAATTTAAACATTCTCCTTCGCCTTCTGAGCAGTGAACAGGAAACACGGGTCACACAAAGCCTGATCTCCGGTTCTGCCATTGTAAGTCGGAGATTCTGGGCACACTTTTCTCAGGGGGACACGGCCTGGCGGTGAGCAGGTTTCAGCCGTGGCAGTGCGGGAAGCACCCCTTCACCTGAACTGTTTGCCTCTGAATGGAGAGAATCTTCCCCGGACAGGAAGCCCGCCTGGTACACCTTTTGCTTCTTTCCAAAAATTCTCACGGCACTTTGCAGAAACAAATAGATCTGGAATTAGAAAAATGCCGTCCGATTAAAAAATAAATAAACTTTACCCTGCGAAGTTGTTCCGTAGAAGAGGGTCAGGGCAGATCTGGGTTCTAAGGCCAGGCTTTCCTTTCTGCCCTCTGTGTGAATCTTTAAGGCACACTGTCTTTGGGTCTGCCCTTCCTGGGGATCAAGCCCACAGCCTCTCTCGCTAACACAGACTCCACCCCTGAGCCAAAGCCCAGCCCCCATCCTGCCCTCTGCAGCCTCAGTCTCCGCATCTGTGAATGGAGTAATAACAACAGGCTTGGGGTAGCCTGGCAAGGTGGTACAGACCCGTAGGTCCAGCGCATGGGAGACCGAGACAGGCAGGAGCATCATGAGTTCAAGGCCAACCTGGGCTACATAGCGAGTTCAAAGCCAGCCTGGATTACACGGTGAGACCCTATCTTCAAAACCCAAACCCGGCTGGGCATGGTGGTGCACACCTGTAATCCCAGCACTTGGGAGGCTGAGGCAGGAGGATCGCTGTGAGTTCAAGACCAGCCTGAGCTACACAGTGAGTTCCAGGGCAGTTTCAACTACATAGTGAGACCCTGTCTCAAAAAAAAACAACAACAACAATAAAAACAAAAACAAAAACCCAAACCCAAACCCAAGCCAAACAAAACAGGCCTGGGGTAATCTGAGGGTTCTGTCAGAACAGGTGTGGAGAACCAGCCTGGATGAACCCTTGGCTTGTGGTTGTTGCTAATCAGACCAAAGTGGAGACAGCCTCAGAGACCAGTCAGCACTTGTCATGGGCCAGAACAGTGTCGTGAGACGTTATAAGCATGGGACAGGACCCACTGCCCCCACGTCTGGCAAGCGCTCATCACCGGCCGAGCTGCACACCCACCGCTGGTGCAAATCTCAGCCTCTGCATCCCATTTTATTTAATTTATTCATTTTTGTTTGTTTGTTTGTTTTTGAGACAGGGTCTCACTATGTAGTTCAGACTGCTCTGGAACTCACTGTGTAGCCCAGGCTGGTCTGAAACTCACAGCGATCCTCCTGCCTCAGCCTCCTGAGTGCTGGGATTATAGGCGTGCGCCACCATGCCCAGCTGCATCCCATTTTAGAGAAGAGAGTCAGAGCAGTAAGGTGCCTGTGCACGACATCCCAGCTCAGAGGCAGTGCCAGGCCCCCTGGCTGGTCACCTCCTCAGGCTGCCTTCTGGCTCTTGGCTTCCTGGACTGTACTTTCAGTCCCAAGCCATCAAACCGCGGGCATCACCTTTGGCTGGCTTCGTTATTGTTCCCGAGCCTCTGTCACCATGGGTATAATTTTACATAAACTTGGCATTCCTTGAAATTTAAAAAAAATGAAAAAAAATATGTTCACTTCTTAAATGTCTTCTGAGGGAACAAAAGATTTCTATAAATGATTTTATGCTCCCCTCCTTACTGTGGAACTCAATAACCCTAAGTCACTGGATGTCCACAAGGAAGCTGGGCTGTTTGTTGGTTTATTTTCTCTTTGGAAACTCTTCTCCACACTAAACATCTCTCCTCCGAGAGAACTCCGGGGAGGAACAGCGATCAGATGCCGGGCTGTGAAGCGGATGAGCAGATCCCCCGGAGGGTGTCTCCTTTCCAGAGGCCTCCTGGAAGGCAAGGAGCCTTGCAACCTAACTCTCTTCTTACCTTAGGATTGTGTTAGGATTGTCTCAGGGCAGGAGAAAGACACAGGGATGCCTTCTGCTCTCAGACAAAAAATAATATATTTCAACCGGGGATGGTGGTGCACGCCCATAATCACAGCACTCAGGAGGCTGAGGCAGAAGGACCAGGAATTGAAGCCCAGGCAAGGCAACTTAGTGATGCTGGGAGACCCTGTCTCAAAGTAAAAATAAAATGGGCTGGGAATGTAGCTCAGTGCAAAGGCCCAAAGTTTAAGCCTCAATACAAAAAAACAAACAAAAAAAATCATAGAGGGAGAAATTATTTCTTTATTGTTTCTTCAGACAGGAGCTTACATGTAGTCCAGGCTGGCCTCAAATCTGTGATCCTCCTGCCTCAGCCTACAAACTGCTGGGATTACAGGTGTGCACCACCATGCCTGGTGCAGGAAGAAATGATTTGAAGCCAAGCACTGAAATGTACTTGACCCTATAGATGGCAATGAGGGCGGCTGAGGCTTCTCTTATCCAACCACTCGAGAGGCACTGCCGGCTCTGCTATATGATGCTGGTCAAGTCACTTAGTCTCTCTGTGCCTGCATTTCCCAGTCTGTAAACTGCGGGTGACAGCAGCGCCTCTGTCCACAGAATTTTGTGAAGATGAAGCAGGTTATGCTGGGGGACCAGGGTTTCCTGGGAGCCTCAGGGTCCAACACGGAAAGGCGACTCCGTCAGAGCAGATCCCCTTACTGGGAAGGGAGCCAAGGCGCACACACCTCCGGGATGAGCACCTGCGTGTTCTGAGGCTGTACCAGCTTTGGCTGTCGTTCGTGGCCAGCCCCGCCTCTTTCACCCCTCGGCCTTGTTGCTATGCCCTCCCTTCCTCACTGTCCCTGTGCAGGGCTTATAATGGGCCTTTTATTCCTACGAGGAGAATGACATCACGCCCCCAAAAGTCCCCACTACGTGTGTCTGATTCATTGTCCATACGGTGATGCACATCTATAATTTCAGCAGGAGGGAGGCTGAGGCAGGAGGATGGCAAGTTACAGACCAGCTTGAACTAATGAGATACCTGGTATCAAAAAAAAAAAAAAAA